GTTGACCTGTCGTGAAGACGTGTCCTTGTGACGAACAGAAGATCCGGGGATGAATACGAATCTGAATCGGTCGTCAACATTCTACACTCATACAAACAGCAAGTCTATTGAAGGTTTGGGGATGAGCAATGATGAGCAGAACATCCTGACGTTATCACTCACGGTGCGAGATCCCACGTGACACGCATGCATACGGGACGCATCTTGGCCAGATAGCGAGGCCTGGTAGTCACGGCGTTAACGCTCTGAAGGCATCTTCCGCCCTAGAAACGCGGCATGTCAGCCGGTAACCTTCAAATGCCGATCCCGTAGGATCCAGACCGGTAGCCACGGCAGGGAGGCAGTGAGCAACCCCGTTAAAGCAGAGGGTCCGCCCACCGAAAACAAAACTCCAAGACTAGAGTCATTCTTCAATTTGTCGGCTACAAGTCACACCTTATCCAGCTACTCGCCATAAAGCAAACAAGCAACGTTCACTCCCTGCCCGTGTATTTCGTCTTCGACCACTATGGCACCCAAAGCTACCACCCAGTCCGCACACTCCAGTGATTATGCGACCATCGACAAGGATGCCGTCACGCTCCACTTCTTGCGCAAATTCGCCGAGCTGCAGAGCCGCTTCGACGCGCATACCGACGTGTTCGCCTCCAAGGGCAAACATTTCCTAGAAGAGACCATAGGCCGCTTTGTCGACCACAAGGAGCCCATTACGATCGTATTGCCTGGGTTTCCGACCAAGACACCGAACCACGGAGGAAAGGTGCTGGGTCCGCTACCCGATCGTGCCGAGGAGCTCGCGCTCGCACGTCTGGAGAAGTTTTGTGCCTCCATCGAGGAAGTCTACCCTGTCGGCTGCAAGGTTACGATCTTCAGTGATGGTCGCGTGTTCGGCGACCTGGTAGGTGTACCTCCTGAGAACATCCGTGCGTACAAGAATGGTCTGAAAGAGCTCGTGAAGGACGCGGGCCACACGCACATCCAGTTCGACGGGCTTGAGAACTACACCAAAACCGACGATCCGGTGCAGGAGGTACTGGAGCGCTTTCGCGTCGACAAGATGAACATGGACACCCGTATCGCGAGCGAACCCGATATCGGCAACAACTTCCGTTCGTTCTCACAGTTCATGGAGAGAGACATGGCTCACCGCTGGGAGGGCAAGTCGGACGCCGAGATGCGCAAGGGTTGCGATGAAGTCGCGCGCAAGATGATGCTGCGCAACGTGGGATTCTCGTCGCTCGTGGCGGAGGAGTACGCTAATGCCATCCGCGTCTCGATCCACTGCTACAACAACGCTGGTCCGAAGTTCGGCATCCACCTACTACCAGCCAAGCAAATGGACTCTCCGCGTACACCGTGGCATTCGGTTATATGTGAGGACATTGACGGCACCGTACACGCCATGGATCTAAAGGATGTCGACACGGACAAGTACGACCTGGTCTACAAGCACGGCCGCAAATGGGGATACGTTGAGCGACCGCCGTGCACTCCCGAAGAAGTGGCTCAGTGGGCGCCACTGCACGTCGAGCTCATTCGTAAGCAAATGTTCATCGTCGCCCAAGCCATGGAAGGTTTCCCGGCACCGTCCATCATGGACGTCCCGCGCGAGGCCATCCGAAGCCTCGTGCTCAAGTACGGCGTGGTGACACTGCGCGGCTTCAAGCAGGACGATGACTTCGAGGCGGCGACGGAGCGCTGGGGTGACGTGCTGCAGTGGCCCAAGGGGACCTTCGCGGCTGGTAACATCTTCGACATCAAGACGGAGGCCGGTACGAAGCTCCCTGCCCAGACGCTCGAAGCCATGTCGTTCCATTACGACGGCATGTTCAAGAAGAAAACGCCTGAATCTACGGAGCTGGGTGATCCACCCGTTTTCATGTTCTTCCACTGCGTGGAGGCTAGTCCACCCGAAGACGACCCGAAGAACGGTAACACTATCATCACGGATACCCGTCGACTGCTGTCGGCGCTTCCAGAGTCCACTGTGGAGCGTCTCAAGAACATCTCACTCACGTACCGTACGTCATTGTTCGAGTACCAGGACCGTGTGCACACGTCTCCTGTGGTAGTCGCGCACCCGATGACCGGC